ACCTCTGGAAGTAACCCAATAATTAGAATTTCCTTTAGAATTTCCAGTGTGGTTGGATGCATAGATGACGCGCATATTCCCATCATCGCATCTTCCGAAAATGAAACATGGAACGGAAGGATGCCATATGGAAGTGAAGTCCGAGATATATGCTGTAACCACCTCTGTTACATAAACACAAATTATGCACAATTTATTTAGTCATCTTTATTTCCTACAAATACAAAAGCAAGAGTTATTCTTTTTTTACTGTTGGATTTTAGTATTTCTCCAATACTTGGTATTATGGCCATCTCCTCTTCATCTGTTCTTCATTATTTTGCGAGCCTTCTTGCTGTTGACTGAGTAGAAGTCAAATGTTCATTTCATTACTCTAATTAAGAAATGTAACAGGTTGGATTAAAGAATCTTTAATTATGTGAAAAGATTAGACTACTTGAAAAGATTAGAGTACGTGAAAAAAAGCTGCTGCACATTGAAATAGCCACTGAATTAAATGTATTTAATATATCAAATGTTTGTAAAGTCATGTAGCCTACACCCATGAACATTTTATGCTTAAAGCTTAACCTGATTGAAATGTTTTTATACTTCATTTTTAGCTGCTGTCACATTCTTATTCTTATTCTTTTTTTTTTTTTACCCATGGGATACCATGAAAATTTATATTAGTTCAATAACCTACCGTTCTGCCAGTTTTCACCTCTGTTATTATAACAGTGATTAAGAATTAAATTTATGCGTTGACTCAAAAGTATGCGGACGTCTTTTTGTCGGTGCTGTTGCCATGGTGAATCATACTTTCGGAGCTCCATTGATCATGACTTCTCATAGTCGTGGTGCACACGCTAAACTCAGAGTCAAACTAACACAATTCAGCTGTTCTGAAACCGAAAACTCAGAGTTTCCCATCTCAGGGTAAGTCAACTCAGAGTTGGTTGAACCTCCTTATTGAAACGGGCCCCTGTTCATTTTGTATCTAAACTTTGTATTATCTCTTTCAGCAAAATAATATATATACAAAACATGAAAAATATTTTAAAGGTCTAGTCATTATCTTAATCACTTGGTGCCCCCTTATTGGCTAGTGCCCCAGGGCACTCGCCCAATCCCGTCTATGTATAATCCGGCCCTGACGATATGATACATGAATGAATAAGCACAGTGCAATCACCAATCAAACAGCCGCGTTGCGCATCTCAGTCTCTCAAAAACCAAGCTCTCTCTCTCTCAAGAGTAGGGTAATAATCAACTTAGATACAGATACATTTTCTGCTAGGCCTACACGTTTGATTCTTTATATTTTGCTGGTTTGCGTGGCACATGCACATTTGTTTAGTGAAGTAAAAAAAAAAGACTCGCTTAAAGAGTTCCGTGTAATGAAAATGTGCGCCTTGAGTCGTGTTCACTAAATGTTTGTCATGAAATCTCTCTGCTTGTATGATAAATTAATTTTTTTAGAAATTATTAATTTTATATTTTAGTACACTGAATAGGGCAAATAGTTGAAACACAAATATTTTTCCATACTCTGTTCTCTTTTTTTCCATACTATTCCAGACCTGCAAATTACTTAAGTGAAATACTTTTTTAAACTGTGCAAGAACCGGTGAGCCAAAGGAAAGCATGTTGTTTTACATAAACTCTAAAATTACAACGCAGTAGGCCTAACAAGTGTGTGAAGTGAGTGTAAGCTCTATGAATGAAATACGCGCAAATAAAATAGCAGTGTTGCACTTGCGTTTTTCCATGCATTTCCTGGAAATTACTTCAATAAATTTCCATATTTCTAAACTGCGTAGGAACCCTTACTGTTTTAATTAGAATATATTTAAATATTTATTTATCGGATCATGGAAGGTCCCCAAGCTGGGACTCGAACTCGCGTTCCCCGAAGCACAACCGCACTGCATCTCCAAACACTGCCTATACAAGGTTATCGGCTCCGACTGTACGAAGATATTAAATAAATGTTATAATCATTAAAAAATATATTATTTTAGTTAAACACAGCATATTTGCTCAGTCATAACTAAGAAATTTTTTTAAAAAGGCTATAAAACCATAGTCATAACAGTAACTGTACGAAGTTCCGCCTACTTCCGGTTTTATCCGAATACGGGTATTACTGTTGTACCATGGCGCAGTACGTTTTTCTCTAACCATCTCCTCTTCATCTGTAGTCATTTCGTCTAGTTCATGTGTATTTATGGGTACACAGAGCAGTTGAGATAAATCAGGCAGGTTATTTGTGAATCTATCTTTGGTGGCTGAACCATTGTTCTGCCCGGACGATAATGCGGAGCCATATAGTTAATATCAGTAATACGCAGTATGCACGATACAAGGAAATGGTCAGTAACATCATCACTTTGAGGTACGATATCTATATCAGTAAGATCAATTCCA